TGCTGCACCAACTCCTGGCTCAGTGCTTCATGAACCCTCCATCATTATCCCAAGGCCTCTTCCCCCTTTTCCCTTCCCTGGTAAAAGGATCAAAGGCAGTTTGGGTGGTGGGGTTAAAAGAAAGTGAATTGATACCAGGGTGAGAGTAAAGAGACTTAAGTAGTTAAGTCCAAATTTGGGGACCTAGAGGCTAAAGTAACCCACCAAACCTAGAAATGACTCAAGATCTTATTTACTTTTTGTTGGTTTGCTTTGGTGGGGGGTGGGGGAGGGAGTCAGACCTAGTAGTAATAAAGGGGTACTCCTGGCTTGGGGGTTACTCCCAGTGCCAGTGCCAGGCATCAAATCAGGGTCTGCCTCATGCAAGCAAGTGCCTTATCCAATGTACTATCTCCCTGGCTCAGGTCTTGTTCTGAAGAAGGGAAGTCATCATTGAATGAGGGGATTTGTGGGGGATTGTGACTGCATGAGTTCCCTGAGAGATGGATAAACCCGAGTAGGTGACAGTAGGAAGGCAAATTTCAGCTTTACCAAGAGAGATGAACTCTCCCTGGAAATGTAGAAAAACTTAATATAATGATGGTGTCTTTTCAGTACAGACAAGAGAAGGAAGGTGAGCATAATAGAAGATCATCAACACATTAAAGGAGAAGACCTCAGTTTAAACTCAGTTGAGAAAGGCTGGGTGGAGAGCTTGACCAGAAGGCCGGGGGTTACAGCAAAAGGCCTGGGGAAGTCCAGTCCAGGTCAGTTGCTGAGAGTGGTGGGTAAAGGTGAAGCCCATCCAGGGGAAGAGTAAAGGAAGCATATTTGAGATCCAAGATAGAATGCGGGGTGTGTGTGGGAGGTGGAGTGCAGGAGTCCATAAGGGTTGGGGATCCCTGGATGTCAGGCAATGATGACTTAGTTACTACCGTGCAAGACTTGGGCAAGTTGAAAAACCTACCGGTATTTTAACAGGAAGAATGCATGAATTGAAAGCAGAGAGATGATGGAGCAGACACTTGGGGTCCCCAGAATGAATGGAGTACTGTCAAAAGGGTTGGAGGGCTCCAGACATGCTGGGGGTATCTCCACAGACATGTCCAGGCCCTAGGAAGCACAAAGCTTGGAAGGATGAGATATTAAGAGAGGATTCCCCTGCACGTTTCTGGCCTGAAAGGATCAACCTCAGAAAGGATTAACTAGGGCGAGCTGAGCGGATCAGGCATCCCCAGGAACACCGTCTCCTAGGGAGATTGCAGGCCTGTATCCTTCCCTGGACCCACATCTCAGTGATGAATTAGCCAGGCTAGGGTCTCTGTCGATGTATCTTATCTCTCATCTCCCACGTTTTGGGCTTCTTATTTATTTATTTATTTATTTTTGCTTTTTGGGTCACACCCAGTGATGCACAGGGGTTACGCCTGGCTCTGTACTCAGGACTTACTCCTGGCATTATTATGGGATGCTGGGAATCGAACGTGGGTCGGACACGTGCAGGGCAAACGCCCTACTTGCTGTGCTATCACTCCAGCCCTGGGCTTCTTATTTTTTAAAAAAAATTTCTTTCCTATTTTATTTAAACACCATGGTTTACAAAGATTTGTTACAGGCATTCAATATTCCAACACCAATCTCACCACCACTGTCACCTTCCCTCAACTATTATCTCCATCCTCCCAACCACCCCTCAAGCCTGTCCCCCGTAGCAGGCCCACAATAATTTATTTTGAACGATTAATTGGTTCTTTCAAAAACATTTTTATAGAAGAAACTTTGTGAAAATTGTTGTATGGCACCATGGGAACATTAAGTCCTTGTCTGAAGGTTTACTTCGCTATTGTTGCAAGTTAAGTCTTCTGTGTTAATGTTAGTGGAGATCGGTTGGCTTCTGTGTTACTTACATTCCTGTTCAATATAGTGTGCTATTACTGGGATATCAGTTTTTTAGAATTTGGAGATGTGGGCCCAGAAAATTCACTCCAGAAAATCCAGAATATTTAATGGCACCATCTGGCATGGCAGCAGATTGGAGTCATGAAAGCAGTGGCCTGGACTTTGTTTGGGCAGAAACTTCCCTGCCCTCGCAGAGATCTCCCTGGAGCTCTCAGTTGGAAAGGTATAGAGAAATTTTTGAGGCTAGTTGTTCTCTTTTGAGATATTTATGAGTCTCTGGAACAAGGCTGGTAGATGAGCTTACATGGTGGGTTGGTGGGGTGTGGGCATGGCTGCTGGGGCTTCTGGATGTATGGGGAAGTATGTGGGGTGGGGGGAGATTGCTTTGAAAAGGCCTGGAGTTTTCAGCCACAAAGACCTGTGTATCTCAAGTTTTCGGCTAGATTTGGGGTTTCTGTAGCAATGATGAAATGGATGAGATTGTCGTGATTGACAGATCAGGTATGAGATAGGACAGGCAAATAATAAGAATAGCATGGAGACTGTGAGTTATAAAATTAAGCTTCCTTCTACTCTAGGCATCAAAGGTCACAAGGAAAAAATAGGAAATTCTCTAGCCCATAGGGAGATGAGAAGTAGGTTTATAGCCTCAGAGAGCTTTCTTTACAGATTAACAACAACAACAAAAATAATAAGAAGAAGAAAAATTACTAAAAAGAGACTCAATTCCTTCAGGCAAAGTTTTTACTAGTGGCAAGCAGAAAGTTGGGCCAGACATGCAGCACCTCAGCAATGGCATTTGAAGCTGTGAGCACTGAACTTTGCATTGTCTGTAAAGGCTGCTTGCATCCCATGCTTCTCTATGAGCCTCTTTCGAGACGGGTCTAAATCCTGGAGACTCCAGCTGAGATAGGAATAAGAGCAGAAAACATACCTGATACTATTTCTACACTTGCTGACTGCAGACCCTCGGACTTCACTCCCTGTACCACACACGGCTCCCTGAGTACCACCAGGTGAAGCCCAAAGCCTCCCTTTCCTTCCTGAAATAAGAATTTCCTCAGCACTATTGTATTCACCTGAGAATACATCATGCATTTCGTTCTTGTAACAATAAAATGAACATTTCTTTTCCTGAAACCATTGAAATACTGCCATTATTTCAGTCCTGTAATTTTGGAGGTTGGTCCTTTGGGTTTGGTTTTATTTTCTTATAGTGTATGCAAAACATTCAAATCTTATGATAACGGGTTCCCCCATCTTAGTGGGAAGCAGCAGATTCATCTATTGTGACCTTCATGAAGGCAAAATCATGAGACTGGACGAGGTCTTTGTCCTCTGCTGCCTGGTCCACAAAGAGTGAACTTGGTCTCTCATCTTCACAAATAACTGTAGGGCGGCTCTCACACACCATTCCCAGGTTCTACTAGACTGAGATTGTGTCTAGCAAGTGAAAGTTTAGCCAGCGAATGTTCTTATGCTTTCTACAGACACCAGCAGCTCAATTTTTTTTGGGGGGTGGTGAGGGGCACACCTGGTGATGCTCAGGGGTTACTCTTGGTTTTGCACTCAGGAATATGGCCATGCTCAGGGGACCATATGGGTTGCTGGGAATGGAAGCTAGATCGGCTGTGTGCAGATTTTGGAACTAGTTAATGAGACAGAATGAAAATAGGATTATTTCAGGCAAGATCAAGGTTCCCATTTGACTGACTTAGAAAGAGACCCCTCCCTGATGAAGATCAAGTTTCAAACAGGGTTTGAAGGCAGAAGAGGCTCTATCTGCTGTACTATTGCTCTGGCTCAAATTATTTTTTTAACCCAATATGGACATCATAAATTTTAATGACAAGTGACATTTGTTCCATTGTCTGGTGCATGCTTGTATGGCTCCTCTGCTTTTGTTTTTGCTTCCCAGTGCTTATGGTCTGGTAAACAGAAATGAATTTAAACTTTAATGGTTTTTGGCAGGGCAGCAGAGAACTTGCCTTCCATGTCTGGATTTGTCCTGACATTGTGAAATGAGAGGGATGAGACGGAAACAGAGACATTGGAGTCAATCTTCAAGACTGGGCTGGGAATATGCAAGTCATTCAACACTATATTCAAACTTGTCCAAGTCAGGTGAAGTTGCTTGAGAAGTCCAAGGAGAAACCAAGAAATTTGTGATATATATGCACAAAGGAAAGAATATGCAGCTCTAGGAAAGAATAAAATCATGCAATTTGCAGCATTATGGATGGAACTAGAGGATATCATGGTGAGTGGTCAGTTGTAAGGACAGGGATAGATACAGAATGAGCTCTCTCCAGTGGGAATTAAAGATACACAGCAAGGGAGCAACAAAGGGCCAAAGGCAACACAATGAGAGAATTGATCCACACAATAGAGGGAGGGGCTTGGGATGGAGGGGTCTTGGGGTTCTTCGGAGAGGGAGGGGGCTACACAGTTGCTGGGTGTGGCGCTGGAATTATCTGCATTAATAAACCAGTATTCATGCATTGTAAACCACAAAAATCTCAATAAAAATATTTTTTCTTTTTAAAATACCAGGATGCTATCTGTTATACTCACTGCACTCATATGGTGAATCTGACCCAAGCTCAGATGGTCTTGAAAAGATTCACGATGTAATTATGAATACTAGTTTTTAAAAGTATTTTACCACTTTAGAGCTTTTTCTTTGAAAAAAATTGAAAATGACCATTTTTGATGGTAACAGCAGCGTATAAAAGTATATGTGTGGGGGGAAAAATGCTGAAAAGTGCTGGAAATATCTGGTTTGGGAGTTTTTGGAACTAGTTAATGAGACAGAAAAGAAAGGATTATTTCAGGCAAGATCAAGGTTCTTGTTTGATTGACTTAGCATAAGACCCCTCCCTGACGAAGCCCAAGTTCCAAACAGGGTCTGAAGGCAGGAGGGGCTCTAAGAGGGGCGGGGTTTCTGAGACCCAAGTGCCCCACCCTCAGCCCAGGAGGGGTACAAAAGGCCCTTCGCAGCTCTTCCCAGAGTAGAGCTGAGAGGAGAGCAGAGAGGAGCAGAGCAGAGCAGAGCAGAGCAGAGCAGAGAGCAGCAGCGAAGAAGAGAGCAGAGCTCAGAGGACAGCAGCCCCGACAGCAGGATGCGGGTGTGGGAGGCTCACCTCGCTCCATCTCGAAGTACCCTGGCAGAGCTGAGGCTGCTCCTGGCCCTGGCGGGGGTCCTGGCCACCTTGATCCTGGCCCAGCCCTGTGAGGGCAGTGCCCCAGGTACTATAACAAGGAGGGTGGCGTGGCATGGGAGGGGGATATTGGCTCTGGGAAGCTGCACTGGGGTTCACAGCCTCCCTGGGCTCTGACGACCCCCTTTCCCTTGGAACAGCAGCTCCTGGGAAATTGGCACCTTCAGTCCTTCGCACCTACGTGGCAGAGGCTGAGTTGCTGCTGGAAGCCTCCTATGACGGGATACAGAGGAGGTGAGGCTGGGGCCTGCCAGGTTGGGAAGTGGATGGAGTGCTCATACACGCACCCTGTCCCAGGCACCCTGGGGTGGGCCCCTGTGGAAGAGCGCCTTTTCTGTCAGCTGTGTCCTGACTGCCCGTGGCTGGACGGGGGCTTCTAGTTCCAGCGCTCACGCTCCCTTTTCCATGCAGCACTGAACAGGAGTATCCCAGCAGCTCAGCAGGACCCGCAGAAGGACCCACAGAAGGACCCGCAGAAGGACCCGCAGAAGGACCCGCAGAAGGACCCGCAGATGAAAACCACCAGCAGCGGGTGTTACCTGCCCCTGGGATGGCCCTGAGGGCCACCTTCTATCTGCGTGTGGCCCTGGGGCTGCCGCAAGGAAAGGGCCTGGCACAGGAGTCCGACTCCATCCGCATCACTGGTCAGTGCTCCCCACTGAGCCCCAGGCCTACCAACACCTGGGCTGGAGGAAGCCATGTGGGAGGCTGGAACGCACCTTGGGGGTGGAACGGAACACTCAAGGAGGGCTTGGAACCCCAAACTCAGGCCCGGCACCCTGTCCTCCCACAGGAGTGCTGACGAAGCCTCAGCTGCCTCCGCCGCCCCCGGCCAATGGCTGTGCAGACCAGGATGAGGAGCAGGAGCAGGATGAGGACCAGGATGAGCAATGCAGTGACCAGTATCGGACCATCACTGGGAGATGCAACAACAAGTGGGTGTCCAGGGCTGTAGTTGAGCTGGGACCCCCTTCCACAAGCCCCGACCCTCCTGCTGACCCTGTTCATCTGCTCCTGCAGGAGGAGACCATGGCTGGGGGCCTCCAACCAGGCCCTGGCCCGCTGGCTGCCAGCTGAGTACGAGGACGGGCGGGCGTTCCCCTTGGGCTGGACTCCGGGCAAGAGGCACAATGGTTTTGTCCTTCCTCTGGTGAGTGGGTGCTAGGAGTGTCCAGGAACAAGGGCTACCAGACAGTGGGGTGTCTTGTAAATGGGGAGGGGACCCCAATGAGAAAGGGGTCGGGCAGGGCCCAAGAGTCCAAGGCCCACTCTGACTCATCTTCCCCTCAGGTCCGGGACGTCTCCAACAGGATCGTGCACTTCCCCAGCTCGAGGCTTACCTCTGACCCAGGCCGGTCTCTCATGTTCCCCCACTGGGGCCAGTTCCTCCTCTATGACTTGGCCTTCTCCCCCGAGTCTCCAGCCGGAGTGAACTACATGCCCAATCATGACCTGTTTATGTCCAAGTCTTCATTGGGAGAGGAGATCGTGACAGGAGCCGATTGCTACACGACTTGTGCCCGGCTGCCCCCCTGCTTCCCCATTGAGGTACCCACCTATGTCCCAGCCTCCCTGGGGTAGAGGGCTGGGGGGCGGTGGGGACGAGTCACCCAGGAGCTCTGTGCTAGGTACCCCGTCTGAGGCTGGGGACAGAGACAAGGAGCGGGGTCTAGAGGAGCCTAGTCTGTGTTTGGGGATCTGGGCCTTGAGTGGGGTCTGCAGGGAGCAGAAGCCCCTTCTGCCCCTGCCAACCCCCTTCCCCCCCACACACATGCTAAATACCTAGGGAGACCTCACTGCAGGGCGTGGGGGCTTGGTCATTCATTGGTTGGTTCCCCTCCCAGCCACCTCATCTATTCCTGACCTTGAGGGTGCAGAGCCCCCAATCTCCCTCTGACCCTTAGCTCTTGATCTTCATGTGATCAAGTGCAGCCAATGGCACCTCCAAGCTTACTGACCTTCCCCCACGGGCATCTGTACCTTGAGCACTGGCTGTCTCAGCTTCAGGGGGTATAGAGCAATGGGCATAGAGGGGCCAGAAGGAATTTCCACAGCACAGGCTCAAGGTCAGGGGGAGGGACAAAAGCACCCGCACTCCTCTTCTCTGAGTTTCCATTCACAAAGAAGGGTGGAAGAGAAGGTGTCTGCAGGGTCCTGCTCCAGGATGCCAGGCACGAGGGTACTCACGCTTCCCTGCTGATAGGTGAGGTGTGAGTGACTGGAGGGCTCCCTGGAGGAGCTAGGTTTAGACACCCTGGGGACCGAGCAAGAGCTGTGAGCGTGCCCGGGTGCCAGGAACTCTTCTCCCACCCAGATCCCGCCCGATGACCCGCGCCTCAGGACCCCCGGGGACTGCCTGCCCTTCTTCCGCTCGCTGCCCTGGCACGCAGAGAACGGGAGCCGGGTCCGGGAGCAGAGGAACGAGCGCAGCTCCTTCCTGGACGCCAGCATGGTGTACGGCAGCGAGGCCAGCCTGGCTCGGCGGCTGCGCAACCTCACGGACGAGCACGGGCTGCTGGCCGTCAACCAGGTGTTCCGCGACGGGGACCGCGCGCTGCTGCCCTTCGACAACGTGCTGGGCGACCCCTGCGTGCTCAGCAACCGAACTGCGCGCATCCCCTGCTTCCTGGCAGGTGAGACCCAGGAAGGGGCGGGGCGGGGCGGGGCGGGTGGAGTCGGGCCTCGCTACAGAGCCCATGAGAGCCCAGGAGCCCTTGTGCTGGGCCTGGGATGGACACGGATGGACGGCAGGAAGGGTGCTCAGCGAGGCCCGGGGTGACCCGAGAGGACCCTCGGCTGTGTCCTGGCTACGTGCCTGTGCGGGGCAGCCTCCCTTCGAGGATGAGTCAGAAGGCTGCCCCAGTTCTAATTCAAAGTCCACCTATTGTTCCTGCACGGGCTCCATGTGCCTCTGCAGGCTTGGCTAGGCCAGAAAAGGCTTCCCCGCCCCCGACCCGCAGGTGACAGCGGCCTCCAGGGACTGGCAGAGAGTGCGCCTCCCGCTGGTCTCAGGGACCCTCCTAGGGGAGGACGCCCGCCTGCACTTGCTGCTGGGACAAGTCACGCTGGGGAGGAGGATGGTTTGCGGTTGTGAGATGATTTCAGGGTCATCTCCCAACCTTTGAGCTGCTGTGGCAGGGAGGGGTGACTGGCACGCTGATTTTCCAAGGGGCCAAATGAGGCCCAGGCCAGAGCCAGTGAAGCCGGAGCCCAGAGGGTCAGAGTGGCTATCCAGGGATTGCTGGGGTCACTGAGGATCCAGCTGAGCTGACTTTTTCTGTCCTGAACTACCTGTGCGGGGCAGCCCCCACTGGCCCCAGACTGGTCCCTCCCTGTGATCCTGGCAGATCAGCTGCCTTGAGTATGGGGCAGGAGGGCCCAGGCAAAGAGGGTGTGTCTGGAGCCCAGGAGCCATGGGGAAGGCCTGTGCTTGCCTGGCGGCTCCTAAAAGTGCCTGACCGGAGCAGCAGGCTCTGCCCGCCTTGCACCTGCCTCTTCTCCCGACTTGGGGGAGCAGCTGATGGCTCTGGGCAGAGACAGTCTGTGGCCGGTACCAGTTTCTGGGCAACTGTCCCCCTGAGCCAGGGGCATCTCCCCACTCAACCTGAACTGTGGCTGGGGGCCTGAGCCTGCCTGGCAGCAGGAAGGCCTTTCTCCATGTGCGACTCTGAATGGGCCTTTCCAGGTGATCCCCGAGCCAGCGACACCCCCGAGATGGCGGCCCTGCACACCCTGTTCCTACGAGAACACAACCGGCTGGCCACGGAGCTGAGGCGCCTGAACCCTGGCTGGAGCGGGGACCAGCTGTACCAAGAGGCGCGCAAGATCGTGGGCGCCACGGTCCAGGTGGGGGCGGCAGAGAGCCAGGGCCAGAAGAGCTGGGGTGGGGGGGTGAGATGCAGCTGCCCTGCTGGACACAAGCTGGGGGTGCTGGTCAGCCCAGGGAGGAGGGGTCCCAGATCCCCGGCCTGGAGGGGACCTGGGTGTGATGAGGAGGGAGAGGGTCCAGTGGCTCTCCCCAGGGCGTAGCTCTGTCCACGGTTATGGGGCGGTCGTGCTGGGGGTGCTGGCACGGGGCTCACGTGGGGTTCCTGCCTCCTCTTCCAGATCATCACGTACCGCGACTTCCTGCCGCTGCTTCTGGGCCCGCTCCGTGCTGCACGGACTCTGGGGCCCTATCAGGGCTACTGCCCCAGCGAGGACCCACGGGTGGCCAACGTCTTTACCCTGACCTCGAGCTTCAGCCACATGATGCTGCAGCCCTTCGTGATGCGCCTGGACAGCCAGTATCAGGCCTCCGGCCCTGAACCTCGCGTGCCCCTCAGTGCCAACTTCTTTGCCACCTGGCGCGTGGTATACCAAGGTGTGTGGGTCTCCAGGCAGAGGGATGCGGGGCGATGGGAGGGGGTTACTTGTCCTCTCCAGGCGACCCCACTGACTCAGCAGGTCAGGACTTGGCCTGAAGTAGGACGTGACTGACAGACCAGGAGGATAGAAGGGCCTGGAAGGGCCTGAAAGCAGGTCCTCCCCTCTGCCTAGACATGGGACAGGTGACCCCTTGACTGGGGCCCAGCCCCCTGAATCCACCAGACCCTCTGTTTTGCTGCCACTTGCCATGGCAGATGTACGACTGGTGGTTCAGCTGGGATCAGCCTGGCAGCCCATGATAAGGCAAGGACAGTGCCCGGCCCAACCCGAGCCCCCCGTCTTGTCCCACTGCAGGTGGCATCGACCCCATCCTCCGAGGCCTCATGGCCACCCCTGCCAAGCTGAATCAGCAGGACTCCATGATGGTCGACGAGCTCCGGGAACGGCTGTTTGAGCGCCTGAGCAAGATTGGGATGGACCTGGCAGCTCTCCACATGCAGCGCGGTCGAGATCACGGCATCCCGGGTGAGGGACCCCCGACCCCCAGGCTGCAGCTCAGTGGTGGTGGTGGTGGTGGGGTAGAGAAAGAGACTCAGAGGGAAGAGACTTGGGTGCCCCCTTAGTCACTAGCACCTTGGAGGGGACGAAGGCGCTGGGGTTGGGGGTGGTCACCCCAGGTAGATGCGATCAGGCAGGCCTGCACTAGGGGCTGGGCTGTGGGTTCAAGACCTGGACAAGTCTGGGTCAGAGGGGAGGGCAGGACAGCAGGCCTGTCTGACAAGAGAAAGCAGCAGGTTGAGAGACAGGGACAGAGAATCCCTTCTGCTCATTTTATCCCTGAAGAAAATTGGGGGCTTGGGTGGAAAAAGAGAGAGCTAAGGGATGCCTGAAGCTGAGGCGCCCCGAGTTAGTGTTATTGTCTGGGATGTTCAGGGTGTCAGTGGTGCATTTTCTCTCCCTCCTGGGAAGACCCAGGTTTGGGGTGTGGAGGGCAGAGTCCCTCCCCGCTAGGACAGTTCCAGAAGGACTCTCAGGCTGCAGGTCCAGGGCTGGCTTAGGGGAGGCCGACCAAGCCTGGGCTGCCAGGAGCAGGTGAATCAGGTCAAGGTTTCCGAGCTGTAGGTGAGGATGGGGCAGAAGCACCCTCCAGGGACATGAGAAGCAGCTGTGGCAGCAGGTGTAGCCAGGAGATGAGCTAGAGGACTGGGCCCAGGCCACGAGCCCGGGAGGACAGTCAGACTCATCAGCAAATGTTCCTGGTCTTCCCCTGTTCAGTGGGGACCAGGGGGCAGCTAGGTGCCCCATGTCCATGGCTGTGAGGGGTGAGCTGGGCTGCAGGCCCCTGGGACTGGCCCTCCCAGCACTCAGGCCCTGAGTAGCTGCTTCCTGCTTTCACTTGGGCGCCCCCTGCTGGGAAGCCGCGAATCCACACTGGGCAGTGCAGTGCCTGAGTCCCCTCCTGCCCTACCTGTGGCCTCCAAGCTGACCCAGAGGAATTGTACTGCCCATGGCCCACCTCAGCAGGGCGGCTTGAAACCTGCTGGTTTTTGCTCCATCTGTTCAGTCCTTTCAGCATTCTGCGGACCCGAGAGAGGCTGGGAAGAGAGAACTAGTCTCGTGGTCCTACCGTCTCAGTTGCCCTAATGAAGGCACTTGAGCCCATCACAGACTGGATCAGGACTAGTGTGGGTTCAAGAGGCCCTGCGTGGGGGACACCATCCTCGCTGAGATACCCAAGAGCCCGGGCTGTGTACTGTCTTACATTCTCCAATGGTGGTTTGGTATCTGGATGGCACAGGGTCTGGTACCAGCAGGGATGGGGTTCTGGCTCAGGGCCTGACCACCGCCCTTGTCTGGAAGGGTCTCATGGGAGGGCAGTGGGGGAAGACTCTGACAGTGCTCCCTGCCTTCCCTCAGGGTACAACGCCTGGAGGCGTTTCTGTGGCCTCTCCCAGCCCCACACCCTGGCTCAGCTCAGCCTGGTGCTGAAAAACCCGGTCTTGGCCAAAGAGTTCCTGGAGCTGTATGGGACGGCCGACAACATCGACCTGTGGATCGGGGCCATGGCGGAGCCCGTCTTGCCAGGAGCCCGCGTGGGGCCTCTTCTGGCTTGTCTGCTGGAGAAGCAGTTCCACAGGATCCGCAGTGGGGACAGGTGAGGACCCTGCCCGCACACCTGACACTGGGTCTTTCCAGCTCCCACTCCCAGGTTCCCAGGATCCAACTGCTGGAGGCTGCTCTCGGGGAGCACACCCTGCTGGGCCATACTGACAGGGCCAGGCTGCCCTGCCCTGCTGAAGGCCTGGAATCAGAGGCAGACAGGACTGCTGCCAGTGTCAGTCCTCAGAGCCTCTCCATCTCATCTTCCCTGCAGGTTCTGGTGGCAGAAGCCGGGCGTCTTCACAGAGCAACAGCGGCAGGCCCTGAGCAACATTTCCCTGTCTTCGGTTCTGTGCGACAACACGGGCATCAGCACCGTGTCCAAGGACCCATTTAAGGGCGGAAGCTACCCCCAGGACTTTGTGAACTGCAGCCACATCCCCAGACTGGACCTGTCCGCCTGGGCGGGCCATTGAGGCCTCTGTAGGTATGGGGGGGCAGAGAGTGAGGCCCCTGTGAGTATGGGTGACCAGGGAGGCCTCTGTAGTTTGGGGGGCCCAGTGAGCTCTCTGAAGATAAGGGGGGGCTGCTCCTAACCCGGTATGTGGTGCTGAGGCAGGCTGAGCTCTGGCAGGAGGGGCCTCAGACCCACGCTCTCCTCCCCATGCTTCAGGGCCACTGGAGCACCCGCTGACACCTGCCTCAGAGGCTTTGCCTGAATGAGAGAATCTCCACAAAGACTGATGGAGATGCCTTAGGCAGGCACGGTGGATTCTCCAGACCAGCCAGAACTGAGCAGATAAACAGAAGAGACTCTGTATAAAAAGCTCTTTAATGTACGAAAGACCCCCAATAAAAGGTATCAGACCCCATTCACATACGGCTGTTCATTTTACATCCTGCCTTTGGGGATCATTCCTGCTGGTGCTGGGGAATGCACTACTGGCCTTGGCCAGTGTAAGGCAAGTGCCAGGTGAACCTACTCTCTGGCAGAAAGTGCTGCATTGATCCACAGACAGACGCACCATGGAGGTCACTTTGCACCCCTGCCCCTGGAGTGGGGAGTCTGAGACTCTGGGCCGGAATTTGAGCTCTCTGGCCAGCTGCCTCTTATCCCTGGGACTGGGGCTACTGTATGGGACAGAACTCAAGAGGGGACCCCAAAATGGCTCCACCCCAGGGTCCGAGTTGTTGGCCCACCCCTTCAGAAACCCCAACATGAGGGGGATGGGAAGAGGGAGGGTTCCCTGCTGTTTCAAGGAGGGAGAGGACCTCCTGTGGGTCCGAGGAAGGTGGGCCCCTCCAGGGCCACTGCTCCTCACACAAGCAATGAGGTTGAGCCGGGCTCAGGGCATATGCTGAGCTTCAGTGTCCAAATCGGCAGACCTTGGGCTAGGAGACCAGGGTTCCCGAGGGGCTCACTAAGTCCGCGGGGAGGCTCTCTCGGGCCTCCTGCATGCGGCGCCGGGCTCTCTGGAAGGCCTCTGCAGGGAGATGGGACGGGTGGTCAGCAGCCCTGGCCAAGAGGGCTGGGAACACGCCACGGGGGCGGGCACCTACCAAGCACCGCGTGAACCGAGCTCTGCTGGTTGAAGCCCTCCAGCCGGTCCAGCACGCTCTGCATCCTCCTGCGGAGGGAACGCGATTCCAGGAAGGCCCTGCAGGGGAGGCAGACAGGAAGTGAGGGGGCAGGACACCCGGGATCCAGGGGCCACAGGGCCAAGGGCGGGACCCACCTGGACTGCTGCAGACAGTGCAGACGGAAGGTGACGGTGCCCGTGGTCTCCGTGCGCAGCCCGAATCGGCTCAGCCGCTGCCCCTGAGGAAATGGGGAACAGCCTCAGGGTGCACCCTCTAGCTGCCCCTGCTGGGGTGGGTGCCCAATCCCCACCCCACTCCTGGGAAGCCCCCAGAAGAGCACCCCCAACTGCCCTCGACTCCACACCACCAGCCGCCAGTCCTGGGGGCCAGAGCAGTTTCCTGGGACCCCCTAGGAGCAACATTCACACTCCTGCTGGCGCTGGCCAGAAGCAAGGGTTGGGCCAAGGTGAAGCCCCATCCAGTCCAGGGCCTTCAAGCCATCCCGCCTTTTCCCGGAAGTACCTCGCCCCGGGAGGTACCTCGCCCCCGCAGGATATGTCCCCAACATCACGGTCACCTTGAAGGTTCCGGGGATCCGCACATAGGAGATGTCCTCCAGTTCTAGAGACCCACCAATGAAAAACCGCCTCAGCTCGGCCACCGTGCCGGGCTCCAGTGGCCTCCATGTGGGGACCGTCAGCGTGTGGGAACCTGTGCAGGGACAGAGTGTGACTGGGGGTCAAGCCAGGGCTCCCTCACAGACTGCGGCCCAGACTTCGGTCCAGCGGCGCTGTGACAACAGGTGCCCCTGCAGCTGACCGAGGTGCTGGAGGGCCCTGGAAACACGTCTCAGCTCTTCCCGCTGCTCCCGGAAACCAGGGATGACTCTCCTGTCCCCAGCCCTTGCTGCCCCTGTGCTGACAGTGTCCCTCACTCCACCTTAGGCACTGAGAACTGGTGTCACGCTCTGTGCCAGTCTGGCCCTCAGCTGGGAACAGGATGTCACCCCAAAGTCCCTGGTGTTCTGTCCTTCCAAGCACCCCAGAGTCCCGGGCCGCACCACCCGTCTCTGAGGGCCGCACACGTCAGAGAGACGCAGGGCAGGTCCCCACACACGAGCTGCCCTTTGCTCAGGTCCCCCAGGAGCTGTGCATGGACAGTCCAGTCTGCCCGAGGGGTGGCGCAGCGGTCACCTGGGGTGGTGGGCAAAACCACAGCACCGTAGCCCTCCACACGGTACCGCTGCCAGGAGTCCAGGGACAGCACCTCACAGTAGAGCACCGGCCACTCCAGGGCAGCATCTGTGAGCAGGAAAGGCTCAAGGTCACGCACCTCCCCTGGGGGCTCCGAGCCGGCCCCAGCCACTGCCCCTGAGCCCAACTCACCTTCAGCTCCGTCCTGCTGCAGGAAGAAGGCCTCCCATGAGAAAGGGCAGGAGAAGTGTGCCACCTTGTCCTGGAGGATGGACAGTGTCCCGAGACAAAGACTCTCCACGTGGGGGGCAATGACCCTTCCTGGGGAACCCGCCCAACTCCTGCTCCAGGTGGGAACAGGAGACGGAGGGGCAGGGACACCAGGACAAGCTGTTCTACACCAAAGACAGGGGTGGAGCTGGGCCAGGCACCCCGCAGAGTCCACCCTGAGCCTGGCCTGGCTGAGGGTTTCAGGGACATCACGGCCACCACGCCCAGCCCAGCCCCATCCCCACCAGGAACTCCCTCCCTGCCATACCATTCCCACAGACTTGGTGACGCAGGTCTGTGTCATTCCTGAGAGCTGATGGACATCGGGGCTTGACCAGTCTGGAAGGAAAAGGCCGTTGAGAGCGAGGGCACCGGGGAGGGGTTGATCAGGGACATGGGCCGGGTTTCTCACACACCCGCTCCCAGCTGGGCAGTCAGTCCTGGTCACCTCACACTTCCCTAGCTGTCCACGGTTCCTTGGATATCTCTGAGACATCTCATTGACTGGGAAGAAAAAAGCCCAGATGCGTGGAGCGAGTACTTCAGTCAGTACTGAGTTGAGTAACTCCAAATATAAGTGGGGCCAGGGCCACTAATTTAGATTGTGACTGTGCCTCCAAGTTTTGTGACTATAAGCTAAGAGACACAAATTCTCTGTTGAAAGCCCGATCTAGTGATGGAACATGTGCAACTGCGCAGAAGAGGGAGTAAGAGAGGACAGAGCGGTAGGTCAGAAAGACAGTGCTGCCCGAGGCGAGACAGGAGCTGGGCAGAGAGTCCAGAATGTTGCTTGGACTCTCTGCTGAAGGGTTTGGGGCAGCTCCCAGGCCCTGGGGAGGGGGTCGGGCTGCAGGAGCTGGGAAAAGTATGGGACCAGGGTTGCTGGCAACAAGCTGAAATTATGTCACAGTCATTGTACTGTAGGCATAATAAGCAGGGTATGGGTGAGGCAGGATGGACTGTGGGGTCTCAGATCATCATCACAGGGATAGTAACAGAGGTCACTGAAGATGAGGACAGACAAAGGCCAGAGGGAAAAGTAAGGGTCTCTGTTGCATAAAAAGAATACTGAAGCCTAGAGTGGTCCAAGATAGATGGACAAGAGAGATTTGCAGAAGATAGTTTGGACCAAGACAGACTGGCCCCAAGAGATTGGCCCCAGATAGTTTTGTCCAAGATAGATTGACCCCAGATATATAAAAAAAAAAAAATACTGAAGCCATGGAATGAACTGGTGCCACTGGAAAGGTATGTGTTTATGTGTATGTGTGTGTGTTTGTTGTAAGTGTGTGTGTGTGTGTGAGAGAGAGAGAGAGAGAGAGAGAGAGAGAGAGAGAGAGAGAGACAGACAGACAGACAGAGACAGAGACAGACACAATGAGACAGAGACAGAGGGAGAAAACCAGGCCTAGGCTCAGCCCAGCTGCCCGGAGTTTCACATCAACAGGAAGCAGCCACAGAGGCTGAGGAGCCAACCCCCAAGCGACACGGAGCCAAGAGAAGACTTCCAGTGAGGAAAGTGAAGCCTCAAGTGATTCTCAGAGACCAAGGAAGGGGAACGCGGGAAGCCCCACAGGATCTGCCAACTGGGATGGGACGTGACCTATGACCCTTGAGAGGCAGAGCAGCAGGGTTAGAGGCGGAGAAGGGAAAGCAGGAAGCGGGACTACAGGCCTCTCAAAAACTATGAGAATGGGCACAGAAAGGCTCTGCCTCTTACTTACTGGAGGCTGGCAGCTCCACGAAGAAGTGAACATAGAGATTGTCATACTCGTAGCCTTGGGCTGAGACTAAGAGAACAAGAAAGGCCACATCAGTTTATGCTCCGGGCACCTCAGTGGACCAACACCTACCGGGCCTCCCCAGCCCTGCCTGGAAGCAAACACCTCAGTGCCAGGAACTGCTGAGCGCCCAGGGGAGATGCTGGTTGACTTTCTGAGCACTGTAGACTCTCAACCCCACAGGGAGGGATCGGGGGTGGGGGGGTACCGCCCAGCTTACCTGCCCATGAGTGAGGGAGAGAGCACACCCCTCAGACAAGACACTTACCCACCTCTCCATTCACAAAGAGCCGTAGCGCACCAGGGATGGGCTGAGTGAAGAAGGGGTGACCGATGAAAGATGAGGGAGGCCACTCCTGACCCTCCCCCAAAGGCCCGACCATAGAGGTCACACTGGTTCCTCTGTATGGAGCGTCCTCCCCACATCCTCCCCACCCGGCGGCTTTCCCACAGAGCTGCTTCCTTCCACCTGTCACTGGTCAGGCAGGGAAGAAGGGCCAAGGGCAGGAGTGTAGGGGAACCTGAGAACAGCAACAGGAAAACTACAGTGTCCCGTGGGACAGAGGGTCCCTGAGCTTCCAGAGGACCCAGGGCAGAAACCAGTGAGACAAGGTCCCCCTAGCAGGATGTGTGTGTGTGTCTCCTCAAATGGTCTGACTGACAACATCAACAACAGTGGTGGCTATCGTAGTATGTGAAGACCAAGAAGTTCATTTTCCTGAGGGGAGGAGGCCACAGGGGTGTGAATTCCTCTCTCTCCACCAAGAACCAGAACTCCCCCAAGCGGGGACACAAGCCAACAAAGAATAACTAACTTAAGCGGCTTCTTTGGAGGTCCAAATTATCTCACAATTATAAGGGACAGTGTTCCCTGTCTACAGGACACCAAGGGAAAACATCCAGATGAAGCTCTAGGAAGACATTTCTTCTCATCATATTTAGTTTCGAATTGATTCAAACGCCAGAGGTGAAAAATTACCAGATACACACTAAAATGACCAGAGTTTAGAGAACAGTAAGAGAAAATCCCTTATGCTTCTCTCCCACCCCAGACCTGACTCACTGCAGCCACCCAAACTCGCTCCCTGGACTGACCCTACGTGGTGTGTGCGGATACCCTCGGCCCTTCCCTACCACACAGAGAGAGTGTCAACACAGAGCCTGAAAACACCAGCAGGGTCACATTGCTCGGGCCACACTTGCTTCCGTCTGACACCAAAGGTCAGGTGTGGGGGCCTCTCGGAGCTCTACGACTCAGCCCTCCAGAGCAGCCCACCGGACCCAGCCTGCCGGCTGCAAGAGCGACTACTCACCATCTCAAAGTCAGTGCCCACCAGGCTGTTGAGATACTCCTTGTGCCGGCCATAAAGCTGAGGAAACAAATCAAATGAAAGCTCAGGAGTGACCTGGTGGGATCAGGGCTCCCTGGGGAAATGAAGAAACCAAGGGAAAGGGCGCTGGGCTAGGCCTGACCATGAAAGTGAAGCAGAAGTACCAGTGGCCAAGGATCGAACCATCCCAGATCCCCAACCTCATATCATTCAGGTTCTCAGACAGGGGACCCACTGCTAAGATGCAGGGACGAAGGGGTGGCACCTCATCAGGCTGCAGCGCAGTCTCGGGGAGATAAAGGGGAGGACTCGGCATCACGCAAGGCAGAGCCCACACATGGCCCCCATGATTCCACTGTTCCTACACCTGCACTGTCAGAGCATCAGAGATGGCGGGGCGGGTCACTAGGCCTCCTCACGCAGCACGGACCATGTTGGGGACGGGCCCTCTGCCGACCCCCTCATCCGGACCCGGCACCGGCACTGAGGCCCATCCCCGGCACAGACCAGCTCTCACATCCTTGAACACGCGCTGTTCCCGCTCCTCCTCTTCCTGCTGCGCCAGCGCAGACACGTTGTCGACCGTGTACTTCCACAGCTCCTGCTTCTCCCCCTCAGTCTCGATTCTGTTGGGGCAAAGGCACACATGGACCGTGACTGGGAACCAATGGGGGCACCAGACAGTGCCCCAGTGACCAGGCCTGCAGGCCGCGCTCCATCAGAACCCAACATCACGGCAGTGAGCAGAGGGATGGGGGTGTGGCCCCAGGCTGGACTCATGGAGCAATCCCCCAACACGGTCACCGAGAAACCTAAAGCCCAACGGTTTGGGGCTGTTTCTCCCCTGAAACCAGCATCCTCGTTAGAGCTTTTCTTCCTTTTCCTTTCTTGGCATGCCGGCATTCGATTCTGGATCCGCACATGTGGTCCAGATTCTTTCCACCTCACAGTCTGTTGCTCTCAGAACCGGGCAAAGGAACCAGCCGGCCCATCTCTAGCAGAAACCAGGACCCGGAACAGATGGGACCCATGGCTGGGCATGGAAACCGTCCACCAGGGAAAGGAGCTCTGAGCCTCTCAGGCAGGCACAGCGGAGCCCAGCCAGGAACATGGCCCAACGGCCCCAGCTTCCTCCTTACCTGTAGGGGCCCTTGAGGCCGGAGAAGTCGGGTTTGACCGTGATGACGCCGTTGCTGTCCACCTTCAGGGTACACAGGACGTGTTCGTACTTCCTGTAGCCCAGCCTAGAACATAGCAGAGGCGCACTCAGACTCAGCGGGGCTGCTCACCCCCAGCACCAGGGAGCCACACTCAGCCCCGCCAGGGCAGGTCACGGCTGCAGCAACACAACACCTCCGAAGTGTCTTCTGGGCCGAGCACAACAGACACAAGGAACGGAGAATCCCTTCCTCCACAGAACCAGGAGGATGGAATCAGGCCAGAGGTGGGGGGGGAGGGGGGGAGAGGAGGTGGCTGGAAGGGAGCCGTGAGATGCCTCACTCACTTTCCAGAGGGCCCCAGGTCGGCCATGATGTACATCGTCTGCATGGGCGTGTTGAGCACATGGCTGCTCCTGACAAAGTCTTCTGAAGGCTCCCAGGTGATGATGCGGGACTTGAGGAGGCCGCCCTCCCTAGCACACACCAGGCCAGGGTCACTTCCCACCCCAACAGGCCCCGGAAATGCTGGAGGAGGCGGCGGGGGGGGTACTCCGAGGGAGGGGAGGCCCAGTGCTGGAGGAAGCGCTGGTGTGGACAAACCGAAACACCGGCCAGGAAGGACCATGTGCCCCTGAGCCCCCACACTCACATCCCTCGCCTGTCCTGCCGGCGCCGCCTGACATTGGCCATTCGCTCCACCAAGAACGATGGCACCTCGTGCTCTGCGGTGGTCATTTTCTGACAGTGCTGGGGAAAGAGCAGCCCTGGCTCAGCCCTCCGGTCAGTGTCCCGCGCACAGAGAGCTGAAGGCAGGGTCTGACCTCAGAATCTAGGCCTGGGCCTCAGAGGAACAGACCTTCACAGGCACGCCCAGAGCAGAGGGGGATGGGCACAAGGGTCCAAACCCAACCCTGTCACACTCTGGTCTGCCCCAGGCTGCAGCAGTGTGTCGGCCTCTGCCTGGGCCTACACAGGCCTGCAGTCTTGGCAAAATTGGCAACAAAACGCCAGTGAGTGGTGTGGGGAGGCTGACGCTCACAACAGGCCAGGAGACGCCAAAGGACACAAAGGACTCTGTGCGGAGCTTTGAGAGGAGACCGAGCACAGCTGTCACTACATTCACATTTCCCCAAGACTACCCACAGGCCATGCGCTGCTGACCCACAGCTCTCTCCATCACAGCAGCAACTTTCAACAACCCTGACACCTGCTCCAGCACAGATCTGCAAGGGCAGAGACCACAATCAGAGGCATCTGATTCACCCTCCCCGGAGCACTTTCAAATCTCTGAGAAAAGGGAGCGCGTAAAAAGGGACTAACCGAGTATAAGACAATCCATGATGCTGGGGTCAGATGGGCAAACAGGACCGGTCCACACCCTGAGACTGCACTGAATTCCTCTTCAAACCCATGCAATGCTGAGGCCAAATCCCACCACGAACTCTCTCTTCATGGCTCCACACCTCATCTATAGGTTCCAGCTCAAATGCCAGAAGGAAACCAGCCCGGGGGCTGCTTCTCCCCTTAGCAGCGTCCAGTCTATCATCAGAGAAACTGCCAGCCCCCACTGCTGTCTAGCTGGTACCCATGGAGAGGCTGCCGTGCTCTGCACTGCCCTCTCCACTCTGCTTGGCTACAAAGAGCACCAGACACAACACCTTGATACAGAAACAGGCAGTGAAGGGGCAAGACCCAGGGAGGCAGAGGAGAAGGACGTTAGGGGACCTGGGCAGAGCAATACCTCCTCCAGGCTGGTGTATCTGTCGGAGTCCGTGTAGGTAAAGATGCGCCTGTTCTTCCTGCCCCCCGAGCCCTCCAGCTTCAGGATCTCCTGCCGGTACTGATGATCCAAGGGGCTCTGGCAGGCACCTTCATTTTGGTACAGATCCACTTCGAACTGAGCTCATAAAGAAACACATCTGACTGAGAAACATCACACTTATGTTTCCTCGGCTGCTCAATGAAATCTGCCCTACAGGTATGATGAGACCGTACAGGTCCGGAGTCAGTTCCGGTTTATCTGTACCCATTTTCCCATGGTGGAGACACAGCCTAGTCGGGGTGCAGGGAGAATAGGGGAGCAGGGATGCTGAAGATGGGCATCTGGGGATTGTTCTCTTCTGGAAGGCTGATGTCTAGGCAAGGGGGCCAAGTAAATAATCCAAGGAAATCTGGGGCCAAAGAGATTGTGAATTCCAAGTCTGCAGTAAAAGGTGGCATGTGACCCAGACAGGGAACAGACCGGTCTGTGAGCAGGATGCTGGGCATGTTGGTTGCTAGGTTACGTACCCACAGTAACACACAAGGGGGGCTCTAAAGTCCTACAACCTCTTACAACTCAGTCTGATAAGATCCATCTCAAGAATCTTCCCCCACCAGGGGCCAAGGGCAGGGACATGCAGCAGACGAGGGACACGTGCTCACCTGGCTGAAGAGCTTCTCCTGCCACCCAATCTCGACCTCCTCCTTTTCATCTTCATCAGGCCGGTGGCCACCTTCAGAGAAAACAAGGAGATAGATGTCTGAGGTAAATCAGCACCACTCCTCGCTCTGCACTTGCTTACAACTAAAGCTTCAGGCTTTCCACCAAAGCAGCTGGGCGCCAGTGAACAATTAAGTACTCTACACAAAGCTTAGAAGGCCACGGATATGCGGAGAATCTGAAATTAGGCCCCAAGAAGTGCTCTTCTCTCCTCTGATCTGAATGAAACCAAATGGTCACGGAAGGCTTTCGTGTACTTCAGCCACAGACCCTGAAGTGCAATTCTTCCATCCTGACTGTTTCCACTGACTTAGAAAGGTACCCTGGCATGGCACGTTTGGTCATGAATGCCCCTGAGTCATATATTTAGCTTCAAACACACTGTGATTACAAGAGAGTTGCAGTCAAAGGAAAGCAGGAAAACAAATAAGTGATTATTTAAAGAAACTGATTAGAACGTAGCCCTGGCTGAGTATGCTTTTTCAGAGACAAGTGCTCAAAATCTACTGCCCACATTTTTACGAGAACCATTTTCAAACGGATACGATAAAAGTAGAAACCCCAGAACTAGCAAAGTATCAGGTCCTCTATCCTCATCGTCCTGACTTCCACATAAGGCAATTTTCAAGCACATAGATTTTGTGAACATCCCACTTTTCCAAGAAGACCCCAACTTAACAGCCCTTTTTAAAATGATTTGTTTATATTTAGAATGTGGTTGACCTTGACATAGCACAGCAGGTCGGGCCTTTGCCTTGCACGCAACCCACTGCACAGACCCAGGTTCGATTCCTCCGTCCCTCTCAGAGAGCCCGGCAAGCTACCAAGAGTATCTCGCCCGCCGGGCAAAGCCTGGCAAGCTTCCCCTGAGCGTATTCAATATGCCAAACACAGTAACAACAAGTCTCACAATGGAGACAGTACTGTGCACGCTAGAGCAAAGCGATGAACAACAGGAGAACAGTGCTACAGTGCTTTAGGGTGTGGACCACTATGCCCTGACCAAAAAAACAAATGCTATGGTATTATTTGGATATCCATGGAAATTTCTAAACATTCTGAAATCACACTCTGTAACACTTGAGACTATTCCTTGTTTACACTCAACAACTAGCATTTCTCAATACCATCTCTAACGGAGGGTGGTTTCACTGCACTACTTTTGACCACAGTTCAGATGAGTATCCTGAGGGCAGGAATCGCCTCTTCCTTCTCCCACTTGCACCCACAGAATCATGTGAGGAGGTCTGGACCTCAAGCCTGGCTGCCACACTTCCCACCCACGGGCCCGTGGCTCTGTGCAGGCGCTCGGGCCCCGTGGCCTTTCCTTGCAGTCCAGCCCTGGCTCTGCGGGGTCTGACCAGGTGGGCACCCGCCCAGCCCCTTGCCCACACCCCAAGGGGCCTCATCTCCCCCAGACACCCACTGGCTGTTGCTTGGGGCCACAAGGCGGCCAAGCCCAGGAGGTCCTTCCCGGCCTGGGCAGCGGGCGGGTCTCGAAGGAAGGCGCTGGCGGTCACTCTCTGCAGGTGGACGCTGTCGGGAAGGAGGGTCAGGAGATGAAGGCGGGAACAGGGTGCCGCGAGCACTGGGGAGCGCGCGCAGAGGAGCGAGAGGAGGCAGCGGGGCGCGGGGTGCTAGGGCGGACAGTGATGCTAAGCGGCGCGGGCTCGATGCTGGGGGGCAACGGGCCCTGAGGGGCGCCCTGGGGGCTGGACGCGGCGCGTGCACGGGAGTCGGCGGGGTGGGGGGTGAGGGGGGGCGGCGGGAGTGAGCGACGCAGACGCAGGAGTCCACTGGGCCGGAAGGACACGGTCGGGGCTGGGGCGCGGGGCTACCGGAGGCGCAGGTTGCGCACAGGGTCCCGGGAGCGGTAAACGGCCTCGCCGGTGTCGGAGCTCCAGGCCGCTGCCGCCATGATTGCCGCGCCGGCCGCCCCGCCCCCGGCTCCCGGGCAACGCGGCCGCGGTCGTGCGCGCCCCCGCCCCCCGCGCCCCGCCTCCCCGCGCGCCCTCGTGCGGGGGGGGGGTCACGTGACCTGGCCCTAGTCAGGCTCTGGGCCCAGGCTTGGCCTGCAGCATAGCTGCTCATCAGCGGGACCAGCAGAGTTCGCCTCCACAGCGGGCTGGGTGCGCTTTACAAAGGGAAGGTGAAGAGGAAGGCAGCGGGACCGGTTGGCAGAGCCTTGGGCCCCTCCAAAGAGATTCAGCTCCAGGGTGGTGGGTGCTAGACCCTGAAGCCCAGGCTGACGTTGGCTCCTTTCCCCCCCTGCCCACGCTCCCTTCCATCACCGTGTCCCAGTTAAGATCTCCCACCTGAAGGCCATTGTTCAAGAGGCAATGGTTGCTGCAGGGGAGAAAAAGTTATCCGGGTGGCAACCTGACAAGTCTGAGGTTCATGTCACAATAGAACAAAAACCTGCCACTGGCAAGTCAGTCGGAAGAAATTCCAGGTCATGGCCACTTCAGGAGGAAGTCCTGTCTCCAACCATCCCGGCTGGCATCAGGGTCAGCGAATCCTCAGGGAGGATGCTGTTTTCCTTGGAACACGTTGGAACTACTCCCGTTGCCAAGAAACAACATGTTAGCCGTAAGCAATCTTTCCAGAGGGTCTTGAGGATTGTTCTCTGAGGATGAGACGTTCCTTGGAGGAAAATTCTCAGGAGCTCTTGTTTTCTCTACCTCCATTCCATCCCAGTCCCACAAGGGTACCTGGACCTGGTTCAACACTCCACACAGTGCATGAGAACCTCACTTGGGATGGAGAGACTGGGCCAAGACCCGGTGGGAGGAAGTGATCATAGGTGATAGATTTATTAGGAAGAGGATAGAGTCACTTTGGGTGGGGCACTCAGGTCACACCATTCCTTCTGGGTCAGGGAATGTGGCAGCACCTGCTCAGATAGGAGAATATATTCCGGAAGAAAGAAAAAGGATCCTCAGGTTGATACTCACTGAACCAGAGAAAGTGAAAACAAGGAAGCTAATAGCATAGCATGGAAAGAAACAGTCCTATTATTAAACTCTTTTTTTTTGTCCTGTGTGTCTTAGTTCCAGATTTTTAAGATCTTGGATACTGCACTGTCCTCCTGTAAAACTAACCAAGTGCCACTTAAAATTCATACTTATTTGGCATGTCAAAGGCAAGGCACACCATGCTTTAAGTTCTCTTCTTGGCCCCTGGGAACGCCAACAGTTGTCAGTCTTTTAGGGAAATTGTCCTCTGAACTCAGGGATCTCATTCCAGTTTGATTATGTGCCCTGCCTAGGACTCATCATAACACCTTTTATTTTATATTTAATATAGCCTTATACTTTGTTTACATTATGTCAAATCTTCATAGAAAGCTTTTGATGGCTATTTTATTTCTTTTTCACCAGTAAATTGATTAAAGCAAGACTTAAGGAGTTTGTTAAAGTTCTTTTCATAACTGGGGAAGAAACCTGCATTTCAGTCTCAGTTTGCATGTGTATGTCCATGTGTGTGTGTGTGTGTGTGTGTGTGTGTGTGTGTGTGTTTGAGGGGCACAAGGCAGTGATCAAGACTTACTCCTAGCCTTGCATTCAGGTGTCATTCTTGGTTATGTGTGAGGACCAGAAAGTACCTTACTCCACTGTACTATATCTCTGGCCCCTTAGTCTATTTTTTTCTTTTCTTATATTTATTTATTGGATCGCTGTGGGGAAAGTTACAAAGCTTTCAGGTTTAAGTCTCAGTCATTCAATGATCAAACACATTTCCCTTCACCAGTACTTATTTTTTACCACCAAGAACCCCAATATACCCCCTCCCACCCCTCCCAATGCCTGTGAGGCAGATGATTTCTACTTAACTCTCTCTACTTTGATTACATTCATTATTTCGACAAAAGATGCACCATTATTGTTTAGAATTTCCCCCCAACAATCAGAATTGCTGAAAAGGCATTGTGAAATAATTTGTTTTCTATAGCTGGTTATGAGAACCATATGATGTCACGAGGCCGCAATAGTGGCCATGAGGTTTTGGATTTCTGATATTTTACTAGGTAAGTCAGGAGGGATTTCTGCAAAGAGCCAGATAATTATGAGATTGGTTTCTGTGTTTCTGGTGTTATGGCTGTGCCGGAGAGCCACTCGTGGGGGGCAACTTGTGACCTCAGTAGAGCATGAAGCATTAGTCTTAGTTTTTAAATCAAAACCTCTTCCACTGTGCCTTCAGTCTCCTACCAATTCATACCACTGGAACAAACAACTCCAGGCAGGTGATGTCTCAGTGGAGGAGTACGTGGCTTACATGTATGTGACTCTGGGTTCTGATCCCTGGATCTCATCATCTGCCTGAATATGGGGTAGCTCCCACACACCCTTGAGTTTAGGTACAAAATAAAAATGAAAAACATACACTGTTTTGGGGGGCAGAGAGATAGAACAGCAGTTAAGGCCCTTGCCTTGTATGCAGCTGACCCAAGTCTCCTGGGAATCACCAGGAGTAATTCCTGAGCATCACCAAGTATGACCCTAAAAACAAAAGCAAAACACAGAACAAAATACACAAATAGAAAACCTAATACTTTTTCTTTATTTTTTCTCCTTCCCCCTTCATTATTGTTAATGTTGTTGTGGCAATGACAGGGGTTACATATGTGCCTGGCTATACTGATCATCAAGGGTTGCAGTCATGGTGCCAAAACTTGTTAGAGAGAAAAAAGAGATTTTTTAATAACATTTCAAGGGGTGATCTATTGGCAAGATAGAAAAATTTCTAAAATAAATGATGACCCAGGGACATCACTGCTGAGCTTGCAGCAATGGAAGGATGACAAAGGATCAGTATAAACAAACATATGCCCATAAATTGCACACACAGCCTCAGTGAAACGGGCAAGTTCCTGGAAAGAAACTCCCAACTCAAATGTAATATCTGTACAAAAGGACACTACTCCATAGTGAAAACAAGTTGATTGGGAAACAAAAAACATGTCTCAAAATTCACTGTGCTAAGTGAGAAGAAGTTGCATGCAAAATACTACACCCTGTCAGTTAGGATAAATAACAGTTGGAAATAATCACTCTGGACCAAAACTGAGTGTTGAATGTAGGTAAAGGGATATACATGATAACCTTTCAGTATCTGTATCACAAATGCCCAAAAGGAGGGTAGGGGAGAGAGAGAGAGAGAGAGAGAGAGAGAGAGAGAGAGAGAGAGAGAGAGAGAGAGAGAGAGAGAGAGAGAAGAAAGAAGGAAAGGAAGGAAAGGAAGGAAGGAAGGAAGGGTGAAAGGGAGAAAGAAAGAAAGAAAGATTATGTCCTGCGGTTTCTTTCAGTGACATTTGTAAGAGAAAATCTATCGCTATGGCACCCAGGTCAGAGGTTGCATGTGGTTAAGTTTAGGAGGACAGGGTTAACTATAATGGTGTAGTCTGAGGGAATTTGGGGATGAATATGGTGATCCATGTAGAACTTTGAAAAACGGTCTTTTGACTAGAAATAAAAGCAGAGGCAAAAGTCATTATCTATAAATGCTCTACTCTAGCCTAGTACATTCTAAACTTATGAATCCTGAACATTCCTGTATATTTTTCCAATGTATGTTTCCTTCTAGAGACCTATAAAAGTCTGTTGCTTTGGCTAGAGTAGAGCATTTATAGATAATTGGAAGGGTATGGATTAATAGCTCTGAAAGAATTTTCTATGCATACTAGGCAGGGAAGTACTACAGAAATCATAGATAATCAAAATCATGTATTTCACTGTCAGGAAAAAAATTAGGATTGATGAGGCAATTGTGAAGATGAGTCCTGTGGCGCTACATCAGGTCTGGAGTTAGCAATACAATGCACCAGTATTGTGGTTTGTTGTTGTTATTGTTGTATAGTTGTGTTTTAACCCAGAGCCTCACACATACAAAGCAAACTCTTCTACCTCAGAGCCAAATCCCTTGACAAAAACACTGAAATGTTTGTTTGTTTTTTTTGAGTTACACCTGGCAATGATCAGGGGTTACTTCTGGCTCTGCACTCAAGAATACTCCTGGCAGTACTCGGGGGACTGTTGGGAGCCTGTGCTAGTTATTAATAAGAAAGTTCTTGTCCCAGGGACATGTTGTCTAAAGGCTGGTTTATAGAGACCATTGTCTTGGGGTTACACAATCTAAGGACTGACTTTCTTGTTTTTCTAGCAGGCTCTTTCCCGTTCTTGTGGCAGAACATGTTGCTAAGGTATATCAATATAAGACCAAAGAAAATATGATGGAAACTATGTAATTATAGAAAAACATCATTGATGTCTAGAAACCTAGTACATTCTAAACTTATGAATCCTGAACATTCCTGTATATTTTTCCAATGTATGTTTCCTTCTAGAGACCTATAAAAGTCTGTTGCTTGTTCAATAAAGACACTGCATGAACATTGCTTGTCAGTCCTCCTGACCCCATTGCCCTTCTCCCTTCCGCCTTGGGGACCCTGTTTGACTTAGCTGCACTGGACGCGGCAGGTGGCGCCCGAAGAGGGACCTAAAGGCAGGAGGACTACAGAGAGCACCCGTAAGACGGTCAACTGCATTAATGACTCAGGCTTATGAGAGGTAAGTAATAGAGGTAAGAGAAATTTGCTTGGCCAAGCAAGAAAAAAGAAACCATGGGAAATTGTAAAATACATAAGGAGTAAAATGGGGGAGCAGTTAGGTAACCAAAAAACTGCACAGTCGCTCGCTTTATTGATTCAAAGTAGAGGATTTAAAGTAAAAGAAAGTCAGATTGTAAAATTTTTGCAGCATGTACATAATGTTTCTCCTTGGTTTCCTAACCAAGGAATTCTAAATGAGCAAATTTGGAAACAAGTAGGTCAAAGAGCTCCAGCAGCATTTTAATAATTGTGGTCCTGATAAGACTCCAGTAGACTTTTGCTCTCTGGAAATTTGCTCTCTGGAAATTAATTATGGAAGGAATCTGCTAACAGAAAAAAAATGTGTTACTGAAGAGAAAAGGGAG